ATGTGCCATTCTTTTTGGGAACCAAAAAGATCTTTGATAAAAAACATGGTATTGTAGATGAGATCTGTTTTATTGCTCCTAATTTTAAAAATTCTTCGATCTTTGATGAGATTTCGAGATTGAAAGTATGGTGAGACATAGATTGAATAGTTAATGGTGGTGGTAAATTCCATTGTATAGAATAGCCATTGTTTATAACTTTTGTAGCCCAAGAATCTTTGAATAAAGTTACCCAATGTTGTAAATTGTGTTGGGTTTTGAGAAATGACTGAAGGTACAAAGAGGTTGGAACTATTCCCGATTTTGTTCCTGTTTGATATTTGGTTTTTGAAATGTATGATTTGTGTATCTTTGGCTCTTTCCAAAAAAAGAGCGTGTATTACCAGGTCTTCGGGTACCGAAACGTGGGTTATATTGACCTCTTCCATGTGACGAAGATGATTCGGAAGATCTAAATTGTCTTTTATATTGTAAAGCCTTGTTAAACAATTTGTTCTTTTCATTCTCTTGAGTGATGAGTTCATTAAGTTTTGTGGGTCCACAAACCTCCTCGTGTTCTGCAGGAGGATTATATGATGGGGATATACATTTAATAGCTTGATCCCTACGAATATCATTTGCATATGAAAGACCATCCAATAAAAGACTTCTTGTGTCCATAAGTGATTGTTCCATTGCTTCCCAAGATTCCAGTGCTTCTTTATCATCTTGGTCTGGTTTGGAATCATAAAGTAGACGTAAAGTATTGTCAAGGGGACGAAGAGTTGCAGACCATCTATATGCAAGTTTTGAAAGTAATTTGTCTGTCTCTCTTGTTTGTTTTGACATGTTTTTCCAAAGTGTTTTGTCCATGGAAGGAGGTTGGAAGCGTATGTTTTTATTGCGGGGTTGTGCTTGTAAAATGAGTTTACGTTCCTCTTGTGAAAGAGTATTGTCTTTATGGATACGTGTAGGAAACCGTAACATTTCTTCTGATGGTTCCCAAGTATAACCTTGTTGCTCATGACCTTCGTCATGGATTTCTTCGATGGGAGAAACAGTATCTTGAACTTCATTTCGAGGATTTGGTTCTTCTGTATCGCTCATGAGAAGTTTTTTAAGCAAGTGCGAACAGCGCCAAGAAAAAAACAGTCTATAGATCACGTTAGTATCAATCGCTTATTTATATGATAAAAATGATGTAACACAAATTAGCTCTGATAAACTTGGGTCAGCGTCAATAAAAGCAGTCAATAGCACGTGATTAGAATCGTACCTTCGAGTGAAGTTCATTTATTTAATATTGAAATTAATAAAATCAGGTAAGACTAAAGAGTTTATCCTTTTTTAAATAATAAATATTCTTTAGCTAAAATATTAAATAAATCTTTAACTCATTTTTCCTTTGTAACTTTTTCTTTTGTTTTATAAATATCCCCATACAAAATATTATATAATCAAACAAGACTATTTCTATAAAAATTGAATATTCATATATGTTGTGCCTCAGATTAATGCTTGCATCAGATGTCAACTTTTTGGCCCGCATTAACTGATTGATATTGATTGACTTAAATTAAGCCCAAATTCTTCCCAGATTCTTACCCTAACCCTAATCTAACTTAGGCCGGTTTTAATCTAATACAAGAATTGATCTGAGGCACGACATATATAACTATCTCGATTCATTTTCTGAGCATGATCAGGATAATAAAATGCAAAGATAAATTCATCAACAAGCTGCCATAATGCTTTAGTATATTGGGTAACTTTATGTTTTTCTACATTAATCTAATTATGTTCTACAAATTCATCATACAACAATAACACTCTCTTACGTTCATCTTGGATGCTATAATTTTTTGTTTAAGGTTAGCTGGGTCTAATAAATCAGAAGTAGACAAATTTTGTTTGACAAATTTAATACCGTATTGCTTCAAGGATTTATTAAAAGCTAAATAGTAGTTTTTTCTAGTAATATTTACTAAAGCAACATGCTTAAATAGCTCGTATTGCTGTGGATAGCATGATATAAATTCTAAAAAAGTTATGACTAATGATGTATAAATATTTTTATCTATAGCAGAAAATAAAGGTGCAAATACTGCTAAACTTTTTAATTGTACATCTGTATTACTCAAATGAATACCTATATAATAAGCTTTCCAATATCTAGCTAAATAGTAAAACAAAAACTATATTTTTATAATATTATTATTTTTTCTAAATATAGCTTCTACATCTAATAGCATATTGTTATTATTTAAATAAAGATTAATTGCTATTTTAACAGTAGTGTGTATTAATTCCAATACTTTACAAGTCGTGCAATAGTCTACATTTTGTTCTAGCTTGTCAAGAAATCAGATACCAAGCTTTGCCACCATGCTATAAAGACTATATCCACTAAATTCTGCAATCAAAGCACTATATATAGCCTTTGAAGTATGCTATTGCCCAAAGATAAATCTACAAGCTAAGTTGTTATTTTTATATGTTTTTGTTCTTGCAAATATAGCTATATCACATGCTAAATTAATAATATCTTGTTCAAGATTTTCTAAATATGCATTGATTAACTTAAATATGAATTCATTACTATTAGATTCTGGTCCAGACTCTAATATAATGACATTCAGTGAGTTTACTTAGCATTCTGATTTAACAATAGTAAAGATTTCATTATTAATTTTTTCAATTTCAAAATTTTATTTATTAATTGTTTTATTATTATATTAAATTTTTTATCCTATTTAGATATAAATACCAATTAACCAAATAGATTTTCTTGAGATTGTAAATTTTCTTGAATAAGAGATGATAAATTAAATAGAAGTTCAAATTGAAACACTATTCTAAGAGTAGTATGTAAAGATTGCCAGATAATATTATATATATTCCTGTACTTAAAAACTATATTCTTGAAGTCAATATTATCAATTATAGTAATGTTCTATATATCTGGACTTTTAATTAATCTTGTTAAAGGATTAGACTTATTTATACATTCTTTTTCTAATTTTGTTTCGTGTTTTTAGATATAGGATATAATATATACTGTATGAAATATGGCTTGCAGAGAAGATATTAGTTTAGACCTTTTATATAAAGAAGATATAGTATAGATAAGCCATATTTTCTATAAACAAAATACTGTTGTCAAAATAATAGATACAAGAAAAAATGTAATTTTTTTATAAAACCAGTATTAAATCAATTTTTTTTTTCCATTGCTTATTTTTTCTTTTTTTTACTTTATATTTTTATTTTTCAATAGATTCAATTAATTTATTAAAAAGCTAGTAAGAATTAAAAGGAAACTATTATAATATTTATCTAATAAGGATAGATTTTTTAACTTGATACAATTTTTTTCAATATCTTTATGAGAATTACATATTGCATTTCCTAACATTTCTCTGAATTGATGGCATTCTTCTACTTTAATAAGTTTTTTATTTGTAGATGAGTAATCATCGAATCTATTAATTTTCATAGTGATTTTTATAAGCAATAGACTAAGTAAATTAAAATCCATATCTATTAAGAATGATTATGAGGTTTTCAATAATTTTATGAGATATTGCAATACCTTCTCTTTTTTATTCTCATTTTGAGAATATGAGAGATTAAACAACCAAGATGAAAAAAACCTTAAAATATAGTTAATATCTTTTGTATACAAGTTTTTATCAATGCATGTTTGAGACTTTCCAGGTTCTAGATGTTTATTAAAATATTTACCATGTTTTTTAAAATATTTTATATAGATATATCTAACATATCTGTTATTAATAGTAAAATTTGTAGCAATCTTTGGAATTCTTTAAAATATGAAGTATGATTTTAAACCAAGACATGGAACTTGAATATCTCTTCTACATATATTTTAACAATAGTCTATACAATCATTATCTTTATTAAAAAATCTTTTATATTTATTACAAAATAAGCATTTTTTTTTTTATTAACTACACCTTTGGTATAATATCTTAATTGTTTAGTACTAGACAAATAAAGTTGCCTATGATTAAAGTTGAAGTGATTAGAACAAACTCTTAACTTAGTTAAGTTTAAAGATTTATCTGAAGTCAATTCTACTTCCTATGTGCCGACTAAGAGTATTAGCAATTTTAAAGAAACTGTTGAATTGCAATGCCCAATAGGCTCATTTAAATTATTGATGATAATACAAGATAACAGTTTTGTTGCTTTGGTTTCTGAAATTTCTTCATAATCTGTATTATCATTATCATTATGCTCAAATAATATATCTTCAATATCATTATCTTTATCTTAGATTACTTGATCTTCTAACAAATTTCTTGTTTTGTTATGGCCAGATAATCATGAGTAAATATAAATTTATGATTATTTGGGTTAGTATTTTAGTTTTTTTTCTTTTAAACTTTCATATATAGAATAATAATTCATTGAGATTAATAATGTATTTTGTAAATAATGTGTTTATTTGTTTTTTTTTGTAAATAACAGGTTTATTTATTAGATAAAAAGCTTAAAGTGTCTTATTTATATATTTTTGAATTCTGACATTTAAAAAAAAAAAAAAAAAACTCTCTCCAGTTCCCAACTGGAACTCTGTCGACAACAAAATTACTACACAAAACTTGCCTTTTTCTATTTAAAAAAAAAGTACTTTAGGGGCTAAGGCCCACATATACAAGAAACATAAGCAAGATAGTATGAAAAAGTCTAGTGTAGACAAACTAGAAATCAACCAAAAAAGTAAAAAAGCAAAAACTTCAGCTACCGAAGAAGAAGGAAACTTGACTGAAATCTGGAAAACAAGCTTTACAGATGCAGAGAGCAAGGAGCTGCTCCAAACAGTAGGCCAAAACTCAGGCAGTACAACTAATACTGCCAGTAGCAATAATATAAAGGAAGTTATAGCTACAAATACCAGAGAAGAAGTCGAGCAAACAATGGTGGCAGAAGAAGAAAACAGCTGGTTTACCCAAACAAACAACATGTTTCAAGTCCCAACAAAACAAATAGCACACATAACCGATAAGGCCAACAATAATAAACACGTAGACAAACACGTGAATATCCAATCAAATAGTGCCAACGGACAGGCAGAACCAAAACAATGGTCAAGTCTGTTTTCTAAACTCGAAAGAGGCAA